GAAGCATCAAAAAATGAATTAAAAAATTAAAAAGAATTTCTGTTCCATTATTAATCACACAAGTTTCTGAGATTTGTTTTCTGTTAGTAATTCTTACAGAAGGTGTAAATGCAGATATGGTACCCCAATACGCCTCAAGACAGAACAAAAGAGAAATGTGATCAATAAAAATTGTAAATGAGATGAAACACATGAAGGTCAAGCCTCTGTTACTATGTGCAAGGGAGCATTTAAAAATTAACAGTAAGGGAAAGTATTAGTACAAGTCTGCATGTACAAGTTAGCACAATCTAGAAAACTAGGATTTTTGTGATTGCAGATGTGATACTTTGGAAATAAAATGACTGAAATGCTTTTTGTTATAGGAATCTCTGTAACTAACTTACACCATTATAGCAATAGCATATTCAGAAAAAGTGCCAGTCCCTGAGCCAGCAGGTAAGAACCTAAAAGATATTTATATCTCCCTAAATATATTAAGAATAAAAATTAAGAAATTAGTTAAGCTTTTAGCCATAAACACATAAGAGCAACTACAGCAATCAATCTTGGGAAGAGAAGAGGGAAAAGTAAGTTACAGAGGGATAAACTTCTTTCAGTTTGCTACTTGAATTGCTGAAAGGTGCTCGGTAGCAGTTTGGCAGGTAAAGTTCACCCTGAGTCTCCTGGTTTTCCAGGTGGTTTTCAAGTTGGGCCTAGAAAAGGCAGTGCTTGTAACAGGGTTTCCAGAAACATATATAATACACAGAATGCGGAGTACAGCAGTAAACACTAAGAAACTATTAGCAATTAAGTTATTTGTGTGTCTGTGCACAAAGGAGAGGAAATTTTAAGTGAGGTCCAGAAATGAAGAAGCAGGACAAATGAGTGCCTGTGACCACAACTAGACAAAAGATGGCCTACAGCTTCTGTTTGTCTCACCTTTGCTTTAGCTGGAGAGGACAAAAAAGAAAACAAGGCACAGGTATCTCTGCACACTGCAAAGGAAGACCACTGTTGTGCTATGGAGTACTTTGGTTTGGTGCCAAGCAAGTGAAATAAAGGACACCAGAACTGAAGGCCTGATGTTTCATACCACAAGGAAGTGGCAACTTGCCACAAAAACAAAAGGCATGGAGAATGGCAAGTCCACCAACTGATATTACCTTCTTTGATGAGCTTGTATCACCTCTCTGAAAATCAGTTAGTTTCTGCAGAAATGGAAATGCCAATGTTCCAGAAAAACAACGTTCTTAAGTCAAAATCAACCTTTCCTTAGATGCTGAACATTTTAAATATTAACACATGGGAAAATTCCAGGTACATAAATATGCTGCTTGTTGGAGACTAGAGAAAGCTGTTTGGTGTTTCTAGCTTATTCAGAGTATTTCCTGCCTCTCCCCACTGTGTCCAAGTGTAACTGGCTCAAGTGCAAATGGCATCCAGAATGAATGCTTCAGGTGTCTGAAAAACAAAAAAAAGATACTTACATGTTAGTGATATAGGAATTATAGTAAATGACAAATTTGCCTTAAAGGGGGAATGAAGGTGGTTTTTTTTGGAAGTATGCATAATAGTAAATGTAAAGCCAGAAAATGGTGGCCACACTTCTCTCAGGGCTTTGAGGAGATTGTGGACTGAAAAAAGACTTACTTTCAAGTTACATTAAGGTGACCAGGTGTTTTTAGCAAAAGTAGTAAGTACAAATGAGTGAACAACAGATGTTAGGTTCCAAAGCAATAAGAACTTCCAGTTTTAACAAATATGGAGCAAAAAGACACAGGTGCACACAGCTGCTGGTTTCATACAGATGTAAACTTGTTTTAAACATCCTTTGGTCTTGCCTCTACCTGAGATTACACAAACCAGCTACTGGTTCTCCTTTACTGTGTCACTGGAAGTTTATTAAACCAGTTTCAGCAGTAAATACCAATCATGTTCATGTGTGTGAACAAATACCCTAGCTGTGCACAGCTACATGTGATACATGATATAGAGCTGTATGAGCTATTACCATCCTCCAGGCAGAAGTGTGTTTCATGCTCTCATGATGACTGGTTTCCCATGTAAGACCTAGCTTTCTAACTAGGGATTCCACAATCCTAGTTGTAACTAAGCCACGAAGCCCTTGGAGCTGACAGTTTATGGAAAACAGAAGGAAAAGTAGAGGAGAAATGCCAACACAAAAGCTGTGAAGAGCCTCTTCTTCCCAGATGGTGCCAGGTAAGCAGTAAGACATCACATAAAACCACTGTTGTTTCCATAAGACTTAGCCACATATGTGTGTGAAGGTAGGGGAAAGTAGACAAAGTCCATGGATGGGTAGGAAAAATTTGCAGCGGGATATACTTCTCATGTTTAAAGAGCGAATGCTCTTTAACAGAAATGTTCAGAAGTCAGCCTCGCATGTTAGTGCTGTCCGCAGCCTGGATTGTAACACACAAAATAGATGTCCTGCAACCTCTGTTACAGCTGCAGAGTTCTTCAAAGCACTTTGGTATTGAGGTGTGCTTTACAGAAATACAGCAAGAGATCAAAAGAAGAGCAGAGCTGGCACTGGCACTGGGGACAATCAGTAAGGCACCTCATTAGAGAATGCAGTACTAGTAGAGAAACAGCAGATGAACTGTGGGTGAGCTCATGCATCCATTATCCTGGTAAGGCAAGGTGTATCACACCCACCTCCTGCATCTTGGCTGACTCATAAGTATACCATTATATTAAGGCACTAACTGGCTCAGGGTTGGACTGTCAACTCATGTTCCTCTCCACCCAGCATACCCCAGTATGATAAGCAAAAACTGCTTCTCCTCTCTTCCCTCTTAAGTTTTTCTTTCACTGTATCAAAAAGAGATATGCAGGGATTCTGGTATTCCACCTTGTCCATTATTTGAATTTCTTGATGCCTATTTCAGATTCTTGTCTCTGCCTCTGTTCCTGGCTATTGTGCATGTTTTTTCCTGTGAAGACAGCTACAATTCCAATAAAGCTTCATTCAGTTCTCTTGGCTTTGCCAGTGCAATTTTGAGGTTAATGTTTCAGTATTGTTTTAATGTGTACTATTGAGATGGATGTTCTACCTATAATTCTGAACATATCTGAGATAATCTATGTGCTCTTTGCTGCTAAAATTAAATATTTGTAAGTTTATTTGTAGAGACTATGGCCAGAAAATACAATAAAGCAATCTTGTTTCACTGCCAGAATTTCACAGAGTTTGGTTAAAGCAGACAATTCCACCCACACCCCAGAATAAATGAATTTTGTTCTTCATCTTTCTAGTAATTTGTTGCACTGATTTGCCCACATACTGTTCAGAGTCCTGATAAATTTTGATCTGGTTTCAATTCTTGCACAGATTTCTGTTGCACCATTCATCTTCAGATTAGGGCCTTGTTTAAAGGCCTTGTACCTTCTTTCTCATGGAGAAAGGGTTTTATCTAGAAGTTAACTAAAAATGATGTTAGATGTATGGGCTGTCAGCCTAGTAGCCAGTGTACTGTGGCTTGCCAAGAAAGTCAAGTAATTCCTTCTTCAGCAGGTCTTCTGAAATATTTGAGATTTGGAAGATAAAGAGCCAGAGCAATGTTGGCTGTCCTGGGTTCAACTACAGCAGTCATTTTTTCTCCTTCTTAGTAGCTGGTGCAGTGCTGTGGTTTTGACTTTCAGTCTGGGAACAACGCTGATAACGATGTTTTTAGTTGTTGCTAAGTAATGTTTACTCTGACCAAGGACTTTCTCAGTCTCATGCTCTGCCAGGGAGGAGGGGAAGCCGGGAGGAAGCAGAGACAGGACACCTGACCCAAACTGGCCAAAGGGCTATACCATACCACAGCACATCATGCCCAGTATATAAACTGGTAGGAGTCACCTGGAAGGCCCAGATCACTGCTCGGGTCAGGCTGGGTATCAGTCAGCAGGTGGTGAGCAATTGTATCCTCTCCCCTTGTTATTTCCTTTATTGTTATTATTGATTTTGGTGGTAGTAGCAGTGGTTTTGTATTATACCTTTGTATATACTGGACTGTTCTTATCTCAACCAGTGGGAGTTACATTCTTTTGATTCTCCTCCCCATCCCTCCAGGAGCTGGGGTACGAAGAAGGGGGGGAGTAAGCAAGCAGCTGCGTGGTTCTGAGTTACTGGCTGGGCTTAAACCACGACAGTTCTTTGGGGTTTAAACCATGACATTGGCACACACACACTTAGCAGTGCTATTTTAAAGGCAGATGTTGAAACATAGCACTTCTTGGGCTACAGGCCTACAATTTAGGTTTATCTATCTCCTACCAAATTGTTCATCATAGCTATGATGCTAGGAAGATACCCATTTTGATTCCCATAATTCCTATATTTATTCTTCTGCAAAAGTAAATGCCAAACTTTAAAAGGCAGGTAGTGCAAAAAATATGGTTCTCAATGACCACATGTATCAAGAAAAGCAGTAGTGCACATCTCTTTGGGCTGAATCTCCCACAAAGCAAAAGCTCTGCAGGTTGGGAGAATGAAAAGCCACACTATCTGCATAGGAACTGAAGGGCTCCAGTAACGTGTATTATACATTGGACTTAATAGTCCTAATTACCTGTATAAAGATTAATTCTTCAGTCTAACAGATTGGATGCAGTATACTGCAAACCTTTCATAAAAGAAGAACAGGCATTTGGAGGAAGCAAAACAATATTATTTCCCTTCTTGGCTTAGTCAGCAATAAGGAAAAGGAGTAGCTGAATCAGGACAATCTTTACACTTCCTATACGTGACACATGCAACCCTGACAAAGTAAGATGCTGCCATCAACTTTTGAACTCTACATTTACAAAAACACTGTAGTTACACAGCAGTCCCTAGTAGCTTCTGCTTTTGCAGCAGTTGGAATTAAACTCCTTTTTCTGTGAAGGCTAGAACTGTATAGATATGTTGGTGGCTATTTTTAAAGCTGTGCCCTATCATGCAAAGCATTCTTGTATGCTATGTATGCCCTACTACCTGAGGGTGCAGATAGACTATACTCACCTTTTACTTACTGTCTTGATGCTGATTCAGCAACTGGCTTCTGCACTCCAAAGGCAGTGATAAAAATATTCACAACTACTATAATGAATACTAGTCCAGTTGCAAGGTTGTTGAGGAAATTCAGCTTTTCATGCTTTGCAGGGTTGTTAAGGTCATATTTTACTTCAAAGAGAAAGGGAAAAAAAAGGTTTTAATTATATGTATTATATGTTTAATTATATGTATTACAAAATACAGAATAAAAGTCTTCACAATTCATGTAGTTCAAGAATTTCTCTTACAGTATTTGCATCAGTCATACTTAAAAGGGAAGTAAAATTCTGCAGTGTCAGTAAAAGTGCTAAGCAGAAGGAGCCTATTTAACCACAAGGAGCCTATTAGCTTCCAGTAATTAACATCTAATCTCTGTGGATGCACATGGGAAGTAACAGACATACAAACATCACCAGAAAACTTCTGAGTTCTTGATCTTCTGAAACCTAGTTTTGTTGCAGACCTTAAGCATTCAAAAATTCTTTCAGTCTTGAATACAGGAAGCTTGAAGTCCTGACAGGATAGAATGAAGTTAAATTTCCTGCAGGTTCTTCACAGAAAGCCCAATCTCTCTAACAGTGCTGTAATTATTGGGGTTTTTTGGTGCTGGTGTCCTTCCACAGCTGTACTCCCTGCTTTTGCATTGATTCTGTTTTTAGAAAGCAAGGGCATTTTATCTGCTAAACACAGCAGTATAGCTGCAGTCCTTTTTACGGAAAGCATCAGCTTGTGTAAACATTTTCTTCTGTTTCTTGCAGTGGAACTGCTAATGGCAGTGAGGGAGGAACACACAAAGGAGATAGTATTAATTTAGTTTAAGCTTTGATTCCAGGCCTTGTGAAAACATATAAATAAGTTACACTGGACTGATAATAGACTTGATGATACAGTAAAGCATGTGCCTGTGTAAGACAGTCTGGGGTGCTTGGCTGGCATCATGCAGAAACACAAGATTTTCCTCTGTCTCTGCTCTCCTGCATTAAGGGCTCTGCAGCTCAGACCTTCTGCTAAATTTGATGCTGGTGGAATCAGTGCCAATGAATTCTGGAGCGTGTTTTGAGAACAGTTTTCTGCCTATTAAAACTCCTAGTTCTTCCTGGAGTCTGCATGTACAGGACATGTGAAAGTTTATACCTTACAAGTTTTTATGGCAACATAAACCTTTGAGGTCTTTCCGACAGGCACATACACAGATGTGTAGCTTAAGACTCTGCTGCCTGAGATCAACTTTGTTATTTGTTTTTTAACACAATGAGCCTCTCAACACTGCAGAGCTTAACCACGGAACCATGACTCACTTGTTTGTTGAAGCAGTTATATAGAAGTGGTGGCAAACGCACTCGTGCTGAAGTATTAAAAGCTAGGTTTACTTGGTGTCCCTAATTATGAAGTCTAATGCTGTTTTGGTTTCAAGGAATTCCAGGCACCTGTTCAAGTCCTGTTTGCTAAACCTGTATAGTCAAACATCACAGGCCAGGCAAAGCACAGTGTGGTGGAATTACATGAAATAATTTAAGCTCAGCAGTATTTAACCCTGAAAATGAGTTTATATATGTCTGTAAAGTATCTGGAGCTATATGGATGTTTGTATCCCAACAATACTTAGAAGGACTCCAGTACTGTCATATGAATGAAGTAGAAAAATGAAATTGAATCATTACTCCTACAGTATAGAAGAAAAGCATTTCAGACAGTTGGTTTAAAAAAGAAAAGGTAATAATGGCCTAATGTGTTTTGTGAGTTAGAAGAAATCATGCTCAAAGGAGAACCGACACTTTCAGAGCCATGTCTTTGTCCAAGAAAGGGTCAGAGAAGACAATATTGCTGGTCAGCTTAAGCAGTGCTCTAAATTTTGAAGTAGAATTGCAGTCATCCTATGTTAGTGATTATAGGGCTTAAAATGAGGGTGTTTGTGAAAATGTTCTTAAGAACAGTTATTCTTTAAGTATTTTATTATAGTGGGGTTAGATTACTATGATTTCATGCCACATAAACTATTTCAACATATTCTTTGGTTTTTTTCCAAAAAGTTAAGATTACCAAATCACTTTTAAGGAGAAGTTTGCTGAACATTTTTCAAATTGTTTTTGTGAAAGGCTCTTTTGAAGGAGGAAAAGCTTTTAAGCACTTACAGAGAGCAGTAAGAACTGGTAACTCTTGGGATAAAACTCTGAAGGAAAGAAACTGGATGATTGCACAGACTTTTGTTTGTACCTGTGACAGCTTGCAAGTGGCAGAATTTTGTGGATGGACAGAAAGGCAAACTGTTCCTGCAGGCCAAAACTACCAAATACACACTGTGAAAAGCAAATTCTTGCTATGATACCTATATCTTTGCCCTTCATATCCAATTTCCCATCTTCAGTACTACTGACCTTTGCATGACAGCATCAATCCAATGGCATAGGGCTTTGTCACCCTTGGTACACTGAACCTCCAGATGCATCTCATTGTTTGCTAAGTGGTCTGTGATCTCTACCTCAGCCCAGCTTCAGAGTAGAGGCTGCTGGGTACACTCTTTGCTCTCAGTGTGACAAAGATAAAAATGACAGGGATAGAAGCCACTTCGGCAATATCTGGCAGAAGCAAGCATTAAAAAGCCATGTCTCAGTATATACTGAGAAATTACTGACTAACAAATAGCTGGAAACTGTTTAGAGTCAAAAGGCCTCCTCAACTGAAACAACCACAAGGGAGATGCCTTCAACCTAGAAACACAGAATCATGGGATGGTTGGGTTGGAAGGGACCTTAAAGCTCATCCAGTTCCAAACATAGAAACATAGAATCACAGGATGATTGGGTTGGAAGGGACCTTAAAGCTCATCCAGTTCCAAACACCTTCCACTAGAGCAGGTTGCTGCAAGCCCGGTTCAACCTGGCCTTGAACACTGCCAGGGATGAGGCCTGCTGATTTTTGTGTATTGATTTTTCCATGACTCTCCATGACACATTCCTAGTATCAACATTGCCTTTCCCAGTCCCTTTCTGGAATCCTCTCTAGGCCTGGATTTTGCTCTTGTACTGACCCTACCAGTGCAGAGGCAGCTGTATTCTGTCTCTTTCTTAACAAAGAAAAAGCTACATCAGCTGCATATCAATATTATAAGCCTTATGTATCCTGGTTTCCTAGGAACTTCCTCCTTGAACACCAAGTTGTTTTTTCAGCTGTGCTAAAAATGCATGCTGAAAGACTAGCAGAGATGCCAAAGGTGGCACCTATAACAGTAAATGTTGTGTGAATTCTGGCTGTCATCTTCAGGGCTTTTCATTTATGGTAGACTTAAGATCTGCCACCCAGTACCCACTGATTTAATGGGAAAGATTTGAAAAAAGTTATGAGAGTAAATGGTCATATATTACTAGCAAAAGAAGTGACCCATAGCTGTTTCCTACCAGTGAAAGTGTCATTTAGGGGTTCAACTGATGCTGAAACCTCAACATTTCCTCTGATTCCACAGGTATCTTTGATCAACTCTCCGAGGTTATGGTCTAAGGTTTGGGTGCTGCCAATGAACACTGCAGATTTCCAGTAACTTTCCAAAATGCCACCGGATTCTTTTTGCATTTGGCCTTGCAAAAGCATGGGGGAAAACATCACAGTAGGATAAGATAGCAAAGAGAACTACTGAAGACTTGTTTAAGGTCAAAACAGAAATCTCGTATTTCCAGAAGAGTTTGGATAATTCATGCTCACTTAGTGATGACATTGTTTTCGAAATGAGCCTGGTTCTATAGCTACTTAGATCAATATTCTGCCTTACAGAATAAGGCAGAGGGTGCAGGACATATGGGTGCTACTAATCACAGAATCACAGAATAGTTTAGGTTAGAAGGGACCTTAAAGCTCATCGAGTTTCAATCCCCTGCCACATGCAGGGATACCTCCCACTAGAATATTGATTTAAAATATCTAATTTTTAGTGGTAAGTACTGATTCTAGTGCCTTATGGCATTGTATCTATTAATACTGACTAGTGGAACCTCTATTTTTGAGAACAGCAAAGATGTTGCATTGAACATTGAATGTGAACATTTATCATTGAACAAGTAAGTCTGAAAGCGGACAGTTGGGAGGGCAGGGAGCAGGGAACTAATTCTACACCTGTCTCGTTAAGTGTGTCCAGAGCACACACTAACACAGCTCCTGTTTGAACTCATTCTCTTGAAATGATTTCGAGCATATGCTAAAGGTACTGCATTGTATTTCTTTGGTAGAAAGTAGAAAAGGTTTCCCTAGTGATAAGCAGAATTCAAGACAATCTGTTTGTAGCTCCAGGTTGCTACTCATGTTCATAAAATATTCTTCAAATATTACTTTATAATAATTAACAGGATTAAGTAACAGGACTTGCCAGAAACAGTATTATGAAACTGGGCAGGCTGCATGATTCTATCTGGCCTATTAATGTTTCTTTTACAGTATTTCATCATTTTCCTTCCTCCTCAGGCCTTCTGAAAAGAAAAACATTCATAAACCGGGCAAATGAGGAAGTTGATCAAAAATGAAGATTCCACATAAAGCTGCCCTTCCTCTTTTTAATGCAGTATTTCTAAGGTCTTAGGAAAAGACTTCAATCAATTATGAGGTAAAGACTTTCAAATATAATACCTCTTTAAGAATAAATAGGGAGTCTACATACCATTTTATATGCCATCTTATAGGTTGCATCCTATAAGAAAAACACATGTCAATGTTTCTTGCTGTTGCTACATACCGAGGAATATCAGGAGTACTCCCACCATAACTTGCAGTGTGAGTGACAGGCTGATAAGAACAATAAGCGGGATGTAGAAGGAAAAAGAAGGTCCTTGCTCTATCACAGCTTTAAGCTGGGATGCATTAGCCATCAGCAAGGCAATGTCCAACATGCTCTCTGCAGCGCTCTTCTTATTTGCGTAGTGGTTGATATTCATAGGTCCATTTCTTTGAAACCGCTGTGATGTTCTGTGCTAGAATTGGGAGAGAGGAAAAAGGTTATTCACATCTCTCTTAATTGGTGTAGTGAGTGAGAGATCACTTGGCACATCAACTAATTTCTGTATTCATACTGATAAGAGCAATAGTAGTACTGAGACTTTCAGTGCATCTTTTTCACTGTTACTACTGTCCTGCATCTGAGAAGAGAGCAGTAAATAGTGCCTGTACTGCACTTTGGCAGATACACATTTTCCAGCTTGTAGGATCAGTCTGAAGAGTCAGAATGTTTCTATGCTGGGAAAACGAAAGATTGAAGAAGCTGAAAAGCTTGTACTGTGAAAAGTTGGGAGGGAAACCCCCCTGCAAAGCAATCAAGCAAACAGTAGATTGTTGTAACTAAGGCATACTTAAAACCACAAATACTTGTTAAATTCATCCTCCGTTATCACACATCTACATAGTTCCTTAATTACTCATGAATCTTATCTGGGGAATTTACGTGGAAGTTGACCACTGTATGAGCTTTGCTTGACCTCTTTTCCTGCTGCTTACTCTGCCATGTCCCTGTCCAGTCCCACCCATACACAGCCAACTGTTTTTCCACTTTAATACCTTATGATCCGTGGGTGCCAAGCACTGCCAAAGCACAAGGGAAACTTTTTTCCATTTTTCACATCAACAGGCTTTCATTTTTTTAAATTGTCCTTCAAACAAACAGGAAAATAAAACCCAACTGCAGGGCAAAACCAGAGCTTGTTAGCCTGGCAGGATGAACAAAATAAGTGTTTCCTGATAACAATTCATGAGCATGACATTTGACAGCTCATCTCCCAGAGGTGCCTATTTCTCTATGGATTAGATGCAGCTTAGGGTAACTAGGTTAGGCTTAGATGCCTCACTCTGTGATGAGTAGGTAACCCTCTTTCTGCAGTCTCTGAACAGGTTAGGAACTTCATTCTTGCTGCTCTTCCTTCTAAACTTTATTCCAAAATAATACACAAACATACTGAAAGTAACCTTATGCTAGCTGACTTCTCTGAACCTGCTTCTTAAGAGAACTTTTTTATTGCACAAATATGTTTCCTGCTTGCCAGAAAATATACTGTGAGGAAAGTCTCACTTTGGAGGTTAGTTCAAATGCAGAAAACGCCCTCTAATTACTCTCTCCAGCAGCACTGAGAACTACCAAATTTCCAGCTCCAAAGCCAGGTTTGCCACCGTCCAGACCTAAAAGTGTGCTCTTAAATATGACGGATAGTGATGCATAGACCAAACACATCGCCAGTTTTTCCAGGGCACTCAAATACCAAACTTGATCCATTTTCACCAGTCATGTTGTAATCAACCACAGCCTAAATATTCTACTTGGTGAAAAATGGCATGGGGCAGTAGCAGACATTTTTCCTATGAAGAGAACAAAGCCATGTAATCATAGCTTCACACAGATGGCTTCTTTATTAAGACCAAGATGCTGAAGAAACTGACTTTGAGACGGATGCTGACTTCAGTCAGGAAGATCTCAATACTCATTTGGTTTTGTCTATATCCCACCACCTAAAAATGCAGTTTGGCTGGGGAATCTGTCCTACATTTGCCACTTTTTCTCTCCTCAAGGAGAGCCTCCTCGTCCCACCTCCCTGCCCCATTAAACCACTGTAGCATTTGGATGCTTTGAAAAAATACTGTAATTCCAGTATACCATCTACCAAAAGCACTAAACCAAGTGTGGATGTTCATTTCCTTACGGAAAGCAGCATGGATTATATGCTGGCAGTACTCTAGAAAGAGCCAGACTAATATTTTTCACTGTTTACTGCACAGTAATAGGCCAAACACACACACTTAACTCTTGGCTACCTAATGCTGGCTGTGTATGACGGGATGGGGAACTTCGTGTGTAACAGCAGAATGCAATTTCTAGGCATGAATTTAAAAGAAACTCTTCTCAGTAGACTACAGAAGTAATATGACCTATTTTATCACAAGTTCATAATAAAGGAAGCTTTTTCCTTTCTCTACTAGCTAATTAACTCCTTCCTGCCAAAAATACTGACATGGAAATACCTGTTGGGGCTATGAAGCTGCAGTATGCAACACCATCAAAAACTACATGGGTAGCTGTGACTCGGTTCTTAATCCTGATGGAAGGGGACTGCAGTGAAAACAGGACAACTGGTTTCTTTGTTTTCATTGATGTAGGAATGTGATGATGTTTGACATGGTGGTTTGTTGAGTTATTTTAACTTCAGAAAAGAGTAAACAGTCTGGGCTACATCTTCCTTTCAGTTACCTCTGTGACTACATGATGTAAGACAGTTTCTACATAAAAACCAAAATATGATCTTTTCTTTCTCCTGGGGAAATGTACTGCTGTACTTCTGGGACCTTGCTGTTTGCTAATTTTCTGTATGGTCAGGTTGCATGTGGGAATAGGGGGCTACGGCATTTGAATTGCAGTGAAAGCAAAGGGATTGAGTCACTTCTGAACTCCAATAAATGGAGAAGACTTTTCAAAGTAGGGTGCTGCTGAAGCAAACTAAGGCAAAACTTCTTATTTCTGGCATGACAGCTCAGCTATTTACTATGTTTAGATTCTAAAAACTGGCATTTTGCTCTGTTAAGAGACTTTCAGCTACCACTCCTGAAAGCAGACCAGCTCAGAATCAGAACGAGGCATATGGAGAAGTGAAATGTCGGATCTACTGTAAGGAGCCTGTGGTCTTGCCTTCTGCCAGGAAAAAGGAACTGTAATCATAGAAACCCCAGAAACAATCATTCCCCATCTCCTGATTGAGAATTGGTACCTCCTGACTCATGCTGGAAAACCATCAAACAAATAAAAATGCTTTCTGGAAGCAAGTTGAAGACAACTGCCAAAAGCACTGGAACAGATGCAGTCAGTCCTATGGCAGCAACTTTTAAGATCCGACTGTGTGTTATACAGCAATATACAGACAGGGGAAGTAGAAAAGCTGTTGCCTTAACCTCAGGATAATGACAGTCATGTACAACAGAAATTATATGGGAACTATGTTACGCAGTTTTTTGTTTTTTTCAGGGAGATTCCAGCCATGTAGCTAACATACGCAGCCCACAGCATCCAATGACACTTCCCATGCTGTTATCACCTGCGGAGGGAAAGTGCAGCTTCTGAAGACATTCTAGGATGCATATAAAGTAAAGCTTTCCCTGCAGGTGTCACTTGACAAGAGAAATACACTCCACACAACCTGCCCTAGCCTCAATGTAATCAAAATACCTCATTACACACTTTCAATATTCAAATTATCAAGTACAAACAAACTGATGCCTTCAGCTGGCATCACCAAATGAGTCTGAAGAAAAACAGCACGTGTTTTCACAAGTGTGTGCATAAGAGCCAGGTGTAGGTGGAACTGCTGTATCTTCCTTTCCCTGTCAGCAACAGCCTGCCCTCAGGTCTCAACTGCCAGCAAAGCGTCAACCCCTGAGCAGAACTGCCTGCCACACAATTATGGAAAGGAGGGAGTTGAAAAGCCCCTTGCTCTCTCTGTGACTGGAACAATCTCCTGTGGAACTGCTGATTTTCACAGTCAGATGATGCTGTCCCCATGGATGGTACCACTCTGGTCCTCAAACAGCAGCAGGGTCTGTTTGCTTGGCCAGAGCAGAGCTGTTTGCAAGGATAAAGCTAAGACGCTGCATCAGAAGCTGGCACTTTTTTTCTTCTGTAAGACCAACCCTTCACACCAGGATTGAATGGTATTGGATACACAATCTCACTGTGCGGTATGGAATTTGCTGCTGCTTTACTTCACTCGTCATTTCAACAGAGACCCAGAAGAACTGAGTCCCTTTGAAATACAGAAAGGATTTATTCATCACATTTATTAAAAAATAAAAGTGGCACTGAGGCGAATGTCCTTGGATGCCGAGTTTTATGAATCATGTCTAAGACCCACCTGGTGATTAAACAGGAAGGAAATAGCACTGAAAATGGAAACATCTGAAAACAAATAATAAAGTATCTTTGCTAAATACAGTAACTAGTTATAGTAAGGATTTTTGCTTTTATTACAGCATGAAATTGCTACTTGTGCCAACATTTATGTGGCTTTTCAGAGTATTTATCGAACACTAGTCACTGCTGAAGCAGTCAAATCAATGTGCTAGAAGTCTGAACAAAAAAATGGGAAGCACAAAGTTGTTTATTTTCTTGTCCAACTTGACCTGAGTTTCCCAAACTGTATCACTGAGTCTGTGCAGAGAAGACAGGAGGGGTCTCTGACATGCCAATCACCTGTAACCCACCAAGGAAAAAAAACCACTAGTGAAAATGATGCCTGCTTTGCGTTCGTATTTACAACTCAGTTATGGTTGTTTCTGTTGCTCTGCCCTTCTTCTACAGGAAGAAAGAAATCATTTGGATTCTGAGAGCAAGACTTTAGGATTCATTTCTTCTCTTTTGGTATGTTCCCAGGTACTCAACTCAGCTTCTTAAATGTCTTCCACCACGTATATTCTCCTGTAGAGATTGTTTTAAGAAAATCTAAAAAAAAAAAAAAAAAAAAAAAAAAGGCCAAAACGAAAGCCCCACAAAAACCATGACAGGCAAACTACTGGATCTTGAAATTTCCCAGTTGAGTCAAATCTGTTATGAACACTGAATTTACTGTTCTTGTAATGAAGTTAACAGATACTTGCACTAGCTCAAGACTGTTTACTGTTTTCTTCTTAAATCCCACAAGAAAAGCAGTATTTTGCAGTTAGCAAGGTGAACTTCCAATTTCCCAGATGAATACTTTGAACCAGAAACTGCAAAGTACAAGCCAGAAGTACAGCTTGGGTCTTTCCAGTTTCGATTTGCAATTTGTCCCAGAGCTCAACATGTTTTGCGTGTCAGGCTCAGAGTCTCATATCTGGATTCTGAAAACATACAAATTCTTATTTTAGTATTAGTACAGTATTAGCACTAAATACTTTCATGGTATTCTAACCATTAAGCATTCTAACTATTCTAATCATTAAACAGCAGAATGTCTTTATTAAATAC